GTAGTAGTAGTAGTAGTAGTAGTAGTAGTAGTAGTAGTAGTAGTAGTAGTAGTGTTCATGTTCTTAAAATGGTTTGGACACGATATGAGATGGGGCCACAGCAGCCAGCCTCAAATTCAAATGTCTACAATATGAAAATTATTGGCTTCAAGGAAAAGGGAAAACTAAGAGAGAGATGAATCGAATTCAAAAAGATCCAAATTAAAGGTAACACATTTGATCCACATCTAAAAATTACATTTCTCTTCGGAATCTTGCCGTGTAAGAGAACAGAAAAATCAAAAGTAAGTAAATATTCTATTCTTTTGTCAAATACCCAGACCAAAGCCTTTACAACACTTCAGGCGAAATTTTAATTTACATTTCATTTGTGAAATGTTGAAATACGATTTTTCTTTTCAATTTCAGATAGGCACTCTGGTTATTGGCCTTGAGAGGGAAAAATGTAATTAATAATCATTTATGGATTGTTGTTTGCCACTGTTTTAAAACTAGCAAGCTAAGTCACGTGAAATCCTTCTGAATCAAACTGTGTAGGAAGGTGCGTTCGTCAGAAACATATTATGTTCACCACGAAATAGCCCCAAGCACGAATTTTACGCATTAATATTGTCTAGTTCCATCTTTTTTTCAAAATAAAGAGGATGGGTGCAGATACACATTGAAAGAGGGCATTCTTCGGTTGCGCCCAGAGCACGTAACAAGCTTAAAAGAAGCAGAAAAGTCAAATCAGTTAGTCGAACAGATGGGAAAATAAATCAGTAAATCAGCGGGAAGCACAAACTGTCACCTGAGTTATGAGGCGCGTTATCAGCAATATTGTTGATGTGACGAAAAATCAGTCCAAGAGCAACATGAGTCCTAATCTCTATTTCTTAAAAACAACAACACCATAACCCAAAGAATTATTTTGCATAATCTTTCGAATGAACTTTCCTCCTTCAAAACTTTGGCATATGCATTTCTCCACGATAGCCTATGTCATTAACTTTCAAACGGGGCAAAAACAACTTTTGTTCTCCTAATTTTCTTTTCCCCTATAATTTAAATTACCCCTCCCCCTCCAAAACATCATCAACAACAACAACAACAACAACAACAACAACAACAACAGCACCACCACCACCACCACCAACAACAACAACAAACAAACCAAAAAAACCCCAACCCCAAACAACGCCCTACCCCACCAAAATACAAAAAAACAAGAACAAAAACTGACCTATCACAATAAACCAAAATAATTAATGTGGATCTTTTTAGGTGGACCTCTTCCGTAATTCCAATGTCATGTGTCTGAACCCTGCATGTGTCTATTAAAAACTCAGCAATTTCAGAACAAATAAAGGTATGTTTGTCGCACAAATTTGCCTGCTTGACATAGCACGGCCTCCGCGTCGAGGGAGGGAATAGTTTGAGGAACATATACAAGGAACACCAGGGGGGGGATAATTTTGAGTGTAGTTAAATAGGCAAACACTTCTAAGGGGAAACAACGCGAACGGGGAAACTGCAGGAGACGAAAATCTGTTAGGGAGTTGGATAGATAGATAGATAGATAGATAGATAGATAGATAGATAGACAGATAGACAGATAGATAGATAGATAGATAGATAGATAGATAGATAGATAGATAGATAGACAGATAGACAGATAGACAGATAGATAGATAGATAGATAGATAGATAGATAGAGCAAAGTAATAGAGAGAGAGAGCGCGTAAGAGCGAGAGAGAGAGAGAGCGCCTAAGAGCGAGAGAGAGAGAGAGAGAG